GATCCAAGGTCAACTCAAAGTTTTTAAAAAGCCACAGCATTAATTGTTTGCCATGCAGTCACATGGATGCCTCTTACAATGTGAGGGAAGAGAGGTAAAGCACAAGTGCGGGAAGAAGGTGCCCCTTCAAGGCAAGGCAAGCCCAAATTTACTTGGACCAGTGACTGTGGAGAGCCCTTTTGCCTGGGAAGAGATGTGTATCTTCAGAATTGCTTAAAGCTGTTGTGATGAAACATCTGTCCCCCCATGCACACCTTTTGACAATTATTTTCCAGCCTTGTCTGTCCCTGAACTAGTTCAAAAGTTTGCTTTGCCCTAACACAGTGGTTTATTTTGCTGGTAATAGTATAGAGGCAGACACAAAATAATGATGGGGCCAGGCAGCACTGGCAGCACCAGAGACTTTAGGCTAGAAATTCCTTCTGTGAACTATAATTTTGAAGTTCTTTTGCTTGTAGGCTGTTAGTGGACTGTATGGCTTGGTTTTGGTTTTTTTTTGTAATCCAGCCATTGCTGTATTGCAGCTGACAGGGCTGACCTGACCAGGAGTATTCAGGAGCGATGATGCTCAAAACTATTTCTATTCCTGTCCTCGCACTGTAGGTCTCTCACTGCGGTGATGATGCTTAGTGCTATTATTAGAGTACCACTCCCATATGTCTTTTGTAGACAGTAGCTGTGATTAGCATGACTCTCTGAAAACTCATCTTTTACTTAAAAATGTATGTTCAGGGTACCTTTTTTTTAACAGAGGAGAGAGCAATCTGACAGCATTGGTTTATGAGATCATCTTTTCTTTAGAAAAGCGAAAAGTAACTGATGTGGAAGCAGCAGAAAATGGTTTGAAATACCTTTTTTCTTTTACACTGAGAATGCTAGGGTATCACTAAAGTAGTCTTTCCGTGTTTTCTTCCACGCTTGTTGAGCTTGTTCTCTTCCTGTGCATAAGAAGCAGCTAATAATTACCTAAACCTTTGCACTGTCTTTGCCCTTTCACCAGCCCTAGATGCTTACTTTCAAGTTGCCCTGAGGCTTCTGGAGTTGCTTGTGACCAGGAAGATAAAAGGCTACTTCTGTCTTACCCTCTGCATGTTATGGAGTTCTTTTTTGCCTGTTTCATAAAGCTAGAGGATAGGATTATCTTAGATTAATCCATTTGCTAACTCAGAAAGTACTTGCTGTAAAATATGGGTGTGGTTTTACTATCGCTGCCTTCAAATCCACAATTTAGCAAATATTATATCTGCTAAAAATGAAGTACTTAAGAGTTAGCAAGTATAATAGCCACTTAAAACAGACATATTTGAGTGATTCTTTACTCGACAACTGTAAGAACTTTCATCAGGGCATCTTTACACTCATAAGTATAAATCTTTGTTTCCTTCAGATGGCAGATGGTATTATATAGGGAATATAGAATTGAGGCACAGAATAGTTATGTGACTACGCAGTAAATCAACTGGAGAGTTGTGAATTACTTCTTTCTCTGAAGTTTTTTCCCCGTTTTGTAACTAGTACTATTAAATGTGTTTTTTTCCTCGATCAGCTTTTGGTGATTGTGTACTCCTTCAACATTTTCATTTTTAATTCTGTTTCTCATCCACCATGCTCATTGTGGTAATAATAAACAGAACACTGGGGAAGTGACGCGGTTTGCTGCTGCTCTTCTGCCTCAGATCTCAAGCAAGCGTGGTTATAGAGCGAGGGGCAGGGAAGAGCTGTGTCAGTTACTGTATGTAGCGATGCATTTGTGCTTTCCTTTTGTTGCTTGTTTTTAGGAGGGTTAGTGAGTGATGGGGTTTTTTTTCAATTTTTGATTATTACGTTTATATTGCTGCAAAATAACTGCATTTTAGATACTCAGTGAGTTGTTAATGAAATGTTGATGGTGGCTGCTATAAAGATTTTTCTTAATTTTAATTTTTTTCCCTCCAGATTTCCTGTTTTTCTGGGGAGCTGTCTTTTTAATTACCACTACACTGGTTGCCCTTTTGAAAAAGGAAAACAAGGAACTAACACCAACAAAAGAAGAAACAAAAGGCATCACTGACACATACAAGCTGCTATTCTCAATAATCAAGATGCCGGCAGTTCTTACTTTCTGTCTCTTGATTCTCACAGCAAAAGTAAGTACATACCTATATGAATTGTTAGATGCTGATGATATAAGTGTCTGAAAGGTTTCTGAGTTCCTGTGGTGTAACTTATTTCTTAATTTTGCTAGTGCTTGTCATCAGAGTTCCAAATTTTCACATGGAATTTGAAACAAATTTGCTTATATCATTGTGCTAAATAAGGCTGTACGAGAGAAAACATTTCGTTCGGGCTTTTGTAAGTGTTTACAGAAGCTTTAAAGAGAAGTTTGATTGCAATCTACTATGAAATTAATTGTTTTCAAACATTCTTAAACGTTAGGCTGTTTGTGTAGTCTGCAGTTAAAAGTATGGAGAATGTTTCTTTTAACCTAAATGTTATTCCTTGAGTCTGCAACTCTGTACAAACTAGGTTTTCATGGCTTCTTGTTGGCCATTGTGGATACCTACAGCAATTAAGGCTTGGGCATGAGTATTGTTGCTGTGTTTAATGTTCTTGGTATAGTTTTGGCACTGATGACAAGAAGAGTATGCAAGTGTAGAACTTGTTTCAGAACGGATTAGGAAATTAAATGAGACACAAGTGAATTGTCCTCAATCACATTTCTCAATTTACTTAATAGTGAATAAACTGAATTTCTAGTTAAACTATCACTGTTTTCCCCAGTTTATTTTGTCTGACTTGTATTGCAGGTTGGATTTTCAGCAGCAGATGCCGTAACAGGACTCAAACTGGTGGAAGAGGGCGTCCCAAAAGAGCACCTAGCTCTGCTAGCAGTTCCCATGGTTCCTTTACAGATAATATTGCCTCTGATTATCAGCAAATACACAGCAGGCCCCCAGCCACTGAACACATTTTACAAAGCTATGCCTTTTAGGTAAAAACAAACAAATCTTGTTTAACAGAAACAGTAATTTACATATTCAGATCAAGTATAGGAGTTCTTGTGTAACTCTTAAACTTCCAGATACAAGAAAGTATGTCAGAATTGTCATAGTAAGTTAAACTCCCTGTGTCTTGTGCCTTGAAGACGATTCATTTAGAAACACATGTAAGAAAACAGAATGTGAGGTGTTTTTAAGATGCGTATTCAACAGCATTAGAGTAGTACTCTTGCTACGGTGTTGACAGTTGCTTATTTATGAATCATTCTGACTAGATCCAGGACCGTATCTGTAAAATTACATGTGCTTCCCAATGTAATAGTGGCAGAACACATTGGCAAATCATTCGGTGCATCTACTGGATGTATGCTTTACTGGGGTGACTGAGAGTAAAAGAAGCTGAATTATTTTGATACAGACAAGGAGACATTTCACTTCTGTGTTGAAGTGTTTTATATAGGAGTTTGCTTATGGAATTCTAAAACCAGTGAATCCAGCAAATTACTTAACGCTGTTACTCAGTAAATCATGTAACGTGTCTGTAACAGGTAGCTATTACTTTAATGTGCTCTTATGCGACCATGTATGTTTTTGCCAAAAAAAAAAAAAGAGAGTAGATCTTGCTCCAGCTGAATCTGGTTGTGCGTTGCTTTTAACAAAAAATAAATTTCTGTGTGAAGGGGCAGAGGAGAAAGCCAGTATAGGAGATATGGTAGTGAATTATTTTATATGGAAGACAGAATTTTTTAGGTATAAAATATGTGCAGTTTCAGTGCTTGTCAAAATTTAATATCTAATTCTATCTAAGAAAAAGTTTTAACTATTTAGATATTGACTATTTTAATATATTCTGTATGTATAAATGTTCAGTAGTTGCTTTCTATCAAGGAAACACATGGGGACAATTACTTGAATTACAAATTATCTTTCTTGTTCTTCCAGATTACTGCTTGGTCTGGAATTTGCTTTTTTGGTATGGTGGACTCCTAAAGTAAAACATGAAGGAGGATTTCCTGTCTACTACTATGTTGTAGTATTGCTGAGTTATGCTTTACATCAGGTAACATACACTGTATGTGGGAAGGGGAGGGGGACAGGAGGGTATTTCATATGAATCAATGGGAGGACTATAAATGCTTTTGTCCTTAGTTACACTAGAATTCCTCTAAGTCTGACCTGTTGTGCTGCATGGCTATATTTACTTTTGATACTCTTGCCAATATTACTTCTCCCTCTTCCACCTGCTCCATTAAACATCTTCTATGGAGTTACTTTTAGTTGAGATCTGCTTTTGTTTCCCACTTCCCCCCCCCCCCAAAAAAAGAAGCTCAAAAGCATGGTGGAATTGGATAAATCCCAGCATTCTGACTGAGTTTCATAGGCGTTATGATGATTGTGGTTATTGTGCAGATCCGTAAAGTTATGTGATCCTGGTCCTAGAAGAAAAACTTGTACTGATGTTTGGAGGAATGTCATGATGGATCTGATCCAAAGGCCTGGAAAACAAACACCTGGGCTTTGGATCAGAGCTAAAATGTATGCAGTGTCTTGAGAGTTGATTTTAAATGCAAAAGTGTTATTTTTATGTGCTATTTTATCTGGCCTTATCATACTACAGTTTGATAACCTGAGTCATTCCAATGCATGTGAGGCTGGATCAGTTTCAGCATGACTCGAGACAAGTGGCAAGGCTACTTCTCGGTATTAGTAGAGACACAGACTGCAGAAATAATTTCTCTCTTGTGCAATTTTAACCTGTTGGGATTATTTTTCAGTCAATGTTGCTAACTTTAAGTCATCTCTTAGAACAGTTTTTATGCTAGGCTTTTTAGTTGTCATTGTCTGTAACTGAAGAGACCTTACTGTCCTGTGGGTTTTCTTACCTATTCCATAGATCACGCTGTATAGCATGTATGTTGCAATAATGGCTTTCAACGCCAAAGTCAGTGACCCGCTGATTGGAGGAACCTACATGACGCTCCTAAATACTGTGTCAAATCTGGGAGGGAACTGGCCTTCTACCGTGGCACTCTGGCTTGTGGACCCACTGTGCAGGGGCCCAGGAACAGACCTGTGGAACTACAGTTGCTGCAGAAGTAAGTTCTGGAGGCTGTGAAGGTCTCTGTTCAATTATTTCTCAATGAAATTGCTTCCCTTAGGGTTTTTTGGTTTTTTTTTTTTTCCTTTGAAAACCTGCATAGTGCACAACTTATGCTTCAAAATTCCCACTCATTGGGCTAATTTTCATGTCTGCTAAAATTAAGTCTGTTTTTATCTGTACGCTCTTAATAACGAATATCTTACCAAAGATTTGCAGTTGCAGAGTAGTTGTCCATTTCTTTCTGGGATGAAAAGCTGGTGGTAAAAGCACTAGACTGGTGCCACATTCTCTGCAGTGTAAGGAGGCTGAAAGTATGAAAGTAAACCTTGCTTAAGTTTAGAGTGGTGTAATTAGGCGCTCTGTTCTTGGCAGGCTGTCTGTCCCCCAAGTCCCTTAAGTTTTGTGGTAGGTTTTTGTTCCTTCTGTCTTTCTGGAGGCTTCCTATCTGGATACCTTGATACCTTCTCCTGCTCTCTGTCTTTGATCTTCATTTTCCATGTGAAATTGAGCGGTGTGACTGGCTGCCTTCCCAGTTCTGGGGAGACCTGTGGAAGAGAACAAAGAACATGCTGTGCTAATGTATGCAGATCAAACAACAAGATGCAAAACTGCCTGGAAAGCAAAGTTTCAAATTCACCTCCTCATGAGCAAATGAGAAATTTTAATGTGACTGTTTGGAAGGGGGGAAATGTTTTAGGGGTTTTTGGTTTTGTTTTTCATACTCATGACTGAAACTTATTTCACTCTTGAATGCCAGGACTCTTTGGGATGTGGAAGTTCTCTAAATAAACAAAGTGTTCTAGGAATCAAATGTGACTTGTTTGAACTGGAGTTACATTTATTTTTTTTTTACTAGTTGCAGAGCTTCCACAGTGTCAGATTTTTCAGCCTGTCCCTCATTGGCTTGCCACTAATTAGGTTCCCTGTGCCTCTACTGAATTTAAGTCCTTCCTCCTTCATCTCACTCCTTTCACCTTATTTCACATCCTCCCAGCTGGTAATGTTCCACCACTACTGTTACTCTCTCCTTATTCCTAATCTGATCTTGACATATCTCAGAATAATGAACATGCTGTCAGAACCTCAACTCAGGGGATTGATTTATCTTGGGTTTATAGCAGTACTGAAAGCTGAACAACAGAAACAATAGGGTGCTGTACACTTAAGCTTTAAATGCTGGAGTTTTTGTCTTCCAGTTCTGCAACTAAAAAACATCCTGGGCATATTTTTCCCAGAAATGTGCAGCATTTTGCACTGTCCATTTCCTGATTCAGTGTGGTGAGATGCAAGGATATAATTTCTAAAGAAGCGGTGTGGATGGCTAGGGGAAAAAAAAATAATCTTTCTTTATGGGATTAAGAACCTCCAGGCCAGCATGAGACAGCTGGACAGTTTCTATTTTCTAGAGTTAGCCCCTTGGGCCCATATGCTCTATTTCCCAAATGTTTTGTTTCTTTTCATACTGATGGTAAGCTCAGAAGCCTCTCTTATTAACTGCATGGGAAACAAGGAAAAATAAACAAATATATTTAGTCATAACCAAGAGCAAGTAGAAAACAGTGGATACTTAATGCCTACTTTCTAAAAGCCTGTGTTTTTCTATCTCCCCAGGAATACTTAATGCATCAACTTCTGCTTCTCTGTTTCAGCTCTGCGCAAAAGCTGGTGGTTCCTGTGTTACTACCTTGGATGGTTACTATGTGGAATCTGTTATCTGTGTCATTCTGGGATTTGGCTGGTGGTTCCTACTTGGGCCAAAATTTAAAAAGCTGCAGGACGAAGGACAGTCTTCGTGGAAGTGCAAGAGGACCAAGTGATGCAGTTTAAATACTGGATGGACTAGCAAGGTCATTTACGTTTTATTACAAAGACATATCCCATAATCAATAAACAGGAATATAGGTATTTTTAAATGCCATGTTACTGAAAAAATGGGCGGCTGAGACAGTGGTATGTTTGTATGTGGTACCACTTGCCCTCGCAATATGAAAATGTAAGTTCAGAAAGTAATTGTTAAAAAGTGGCACCTATGTACTACATACATATCTCCGAGCTCTAGCTTCAGAGTCATGGCTGCCGGTGTAACCAATATCCAAATTTCCATATAGAACTATGGAAAAGCTAATTGTGCCATGTCTGTCTAAACAGCAGCATTGTCAGCTAAGTTCCAACTCTTTATTTTCAAACAGAAGTGATCTGACACAGGGAGATGACCCGAGGAAGGATGTCAAAGGCATTTTAACTTGTAGGTTGAGTGTGTTGTACCACAACATTCCTTGTCAGAAGATAAATGTGAAAAGTCTGTGGGCTTTGTTTCTTCTCGCTTTCTGAACTGTAACCACACCTCAAAGGACGAAATACTTCAGAGATTCTTTTAAATGTATTTTCTGGCTTTTATAAGCTTTAAAGATTTATAAGAAGATATTTTTATAAACAAATTACATTTGTTTAATTTATTTCCACTGTTTCAAAGCATTTTGATTTACATTCAAGGTACTTTCTTGATGAAAAATTGCTGTAAGGTAGGACTTAAGAGTAACGCACAATACTCTCAGCCTTGAGTCCTGAAGATGTAAACTGGACAGTGCAGCAGCTGGCACGCAAAGTCAGGTTTCAGAAGGAGAGGGCATGCAGGCCTTCGGAAGGTGGTTGTTATTTTGAGGGAATGAATTGATAGCGTTGGTTCCTCTATGCCACTAAAATTCAAACATTCAATTTCAAAATCGGTGGAAAAAATGTGACTGTTCCCAGCTAGGGGTAAGAAAAGATGATCAGTGCCTTTGAAAGTGATTTGGTGACAAACTTGCCAAATTCCCAGTGAGTTGGTATACGACTTGCTGTCACATAAATCAAACAGGCTGAATCCTGTGGTAGAGTTGCTATGGAAATTTATTACTGATGCTGTGTAGTGGAAGCATTCCTGTTCCATTTATCAAAAATTACTTCCCTCCTGAGTGCCTTAGTGATGTACAGCAAGCATACTGTACGCCTAGAGAGAGGGCACTTGGACACTGGTGGATGTAAATGGTACATCATCATTAAAAAAAACCTATTAAAAATACCTTTGAAAGGTACATGATTTTCTTTTCCATTTGGTGTTTCTTGCCTTGTCAATATTGGAAGTATTGCATCCCAAAGCTTTGTGTTCCAAACTCCTGGAAGGGGTTGTGGATATTTTGTTACTGTATGTTTCAGGAAAACAGTAAATGAATACCAACTTCTGACTGACGGAGGGGATGTGGGTGCGTACAAAGCGCCTGCATGACATAAGGGGTAAGGAGATGGCCAGAAGAGGACAGTGTGACCAAGTGCTTCCTCGGGCAGCCTGTCCCTCTGTCACCCTTGAGGGTGGTTGGGGGAAAGCCAAACCTGGAGCTGTAGGGCTCCCTTGGCTGTGATCTGCAGTCCAGCAACAGCACATCCTCACCATTTGTTTCAAGTACAGCAAAATCAATCAAGCAAAATAAAATCACATTGGTTTTACTCACCAAACTAAAAGTCTTCCAATTTCACCTTTGCATAAGCACAAAAAGAATATATCAGAGATTTGTAGTCAAAGGTGAGTGCATCTTCCAGTCCTAGCCCCACTGGATCAATGATGTATGAGGTACTTCAGGTCTGTATCTTTACTGGAACAGTCGGCCGCTTACTTTAATTACATCTTTTCCATACGTAGGGGTGGTTTTTTTTTTACTTTTCTGACTTTGAGGAAAAACTTCTCAAGTGCAAAATATGGGAAATTAAATTCATAGGTGTTTTAGAGTTGGCTTTTACTTTGCAATTTTGTTTCACTATTTCTGAAGGTGCCAATGAAACTTATTAATATAGATGGGTTGAGAATTGCTTAATTGGTACATTAGCTAAACTTGGCAACATCAACATTAAGCATAAACTCCAATTCAATAGTAATAGATGAAATGTGACCTAAATTAAATGACTGTTTCCTCTTTCAAACTGGAAGAACAACTGATGGATTGGGTTATTAATCTATCAGTGTTGCTACTTTGTACCACGAGTCAGAGGTGTTACTGCTATACCCGCTGATGAGCAGGGTGCTGAAATGAACCAGTAAACTTTTGGTCTTGATACTTTTTTTTCTCCCAACCCTATTTTAAAGTGAAATAATTAATGTTTCTGAAAGAATTATTATAGACTTCAACATCTTTAACATAAAAAAATAACTTTTTAAAAAGACAAGAAGAAAAAAGCAGCCCAGCCTCTGTCCTGGTTTAAATTCCCGAGTTTAAATTCATTGTGAAGTGGGACAGGTCGCAGGGGAGAGGGTGGAGCGAAGAGCTGGTGCACCAGGGTACAGGGAGGAGAGGTAAAGAACAGCTCTCCCCTTGTGCTCATTAGTCATGGCTGTGTTGTTACGGGGACACTTCCCATGCAGGAAAGTCATCATCACCTGTGCTCGTGAGTGCAATTTGTTGTCAGTTCCCCAAATCCTTGAGAGGCGAATACTAGTACTCCAAAGTTCCATTCTGTAATTCCAGTGCCCAGAAAGAGCGTCTGTAAGGCAAGTTTAAGGTCTGATGAGCTCTGTGAAATGGGATTGTGCACCTGCTGCTACTGTGGCGCCCCGAGGAAACTGCTGAGGATCGAACTCGCCAGTCCTGCGAACATCGGTGCTGTCCGTGTGCGATCCATCACGACCACCAACAGTTCTTATTTTAAAACATCAGCTCCAGGTTTCCTCTCTGTTACAGACACTGGTGCCGACTCTCAGCAGTTCTTTTTCTGTAAAGTTGTTTTGTTTCATTGTCTTCCAGGTGTTCTCAGTGTAGTTTCACATGGTACATGCTGTTCGAAACTAGCTGATAAGAGAGGGTGTTCAGATTATTTTTGATCTGATAAAATGGGAAAGAGAGTTCTGTCACTGAGTAAGCACTGTGGGAAAGCAGAGCATCTCCCTGCAGCGGGAACAGAGCCACTGGGTTTTCGGAGGCAGCAGTACTGTCTGACTCTCTTGGCCGCCCTCACGAGTCACTGCTTTTTGTTTAGCATTTTACCCAACACGCAAACTGTAGCAACCAGCAGTATGCTTCCAAATTGTTGTTTGGATACAAGTTATGTTTTTCATGAAAACAAGTTTGCACTATTTATTTATTTATTAGTTAATATTAAAATGCTCACACTTAGTAAATGAAGTAAAGCTAACAACAACTGTACTGCTTTCTTTGAAAAAAAAAAATTACAGGGGTGATATTAACTTGTCCAACTTACCTCATAGCCAGTAATTTAAGAATTGTTTTAGTTTGAACCTTACATAAAATGTTTTGATTCAGGTATGGGGTTTGCTGCCTTGGATTATAAATTCCCAACTAAATCTGTGCTTTTCCCGAACTCCTGAGTTGTGACTGTTAGCGGTATAGTCTCATGCACTGCCTGCTCATGTGCAAACCGAGAACAGGGTTGAAACGGAAGATTTGCATAAACATAAATCCAGTTTTATATCATTGTCAGGTTATTTTCTTACAAGGCGTGTCTTTCTTTAAAGACCATATAGGTGCATTGCACAGATGGGCATTTGATTCAGCTGAGGGAAAGGGCTGGCCTGAGCCGTTTGGTAATGAATTACATATATTTGTTAGTTTTGAACTAAGGGAAAAGAATAAACAACAATGATGAACACAGGGGTGTTCCGAAGTTGTTTTTTCTCTTAAGGTGGCGCCCCGAGGTCCAAGGGGGGAGCTGCACGGTAGCGCGTTTCTCGGGGTCGGGGGGGTGCGAGTGAAGGCGATCACCAGTTCTGTATAAATGCCAGCAGCCCAGGGTCGGCGCTAGCACCCTCTGCGTCCTCCCCGGCGGTTGACAGAGCCTGGCTCGGAAGCTGCCGGATGTAGGAGCGCTTGGGGCAGCCCGACCCTCAGATCCGCGGCCCGGCTCCCTTC